TTTCTGGCCCCTTGGGATTCACAGCTCCAGGTTTGCTTTTGAGAGTGGGCACCTCAAACACAGTCTTGACTAAGGATGCTTCCATATTTCTGCACCTTCTTCTAATGGTCAGAGCTCTTGCCAAGAATGAGTAGATTTTCCGTCAATCACTCTCACCTCCAGACCTTAGCAGAATTGCAGGAAGAGGGGCTAGGGAAAGGAGAAAAAGCAGTGCTATGGTGAAGAAAAATCTAGCTCAAGATCCCATCATGAGGGGAAAGATCCTGCATGAGAAATGTCATCTTACAATGAGAAATGTGAAGCTGCACTGCAACACAATCCTTCTGTCCCCTCCAGTGGTTACTCTGATTGCTGTTGCTGCTGTGAACCACATGGATTCATTCAAAGAACCAGCAGATACCCTTTTTCTTCTGTAAAATATCAATTCTTTATTAATCTGTTCAGATTATTTTCCTGGTATGAAAACAGTGTGTATCTGTGTCTTTGGTAGCACGTGCATTGAATAGTACCATAATCAACCAAATAAAGTCCTTTTTTTTAGGAAAGCATGATGTAGACCTTAGTGCAGCTTAAAATTTGGGGTGGGCTTACATGGAAGGCAGAGGAAGAAGAGCAGAGCTGGTAACACCTGTTGGCAGTGCCAAAAACACGGCATATTGAGCATAACCAGTTCATAAAGCTCTGTCATGCCCAGATAGAAAAACTGTTCATTCTGTGAGCAGTGAAAGTGAAGATCGATGTTCTGGCCTTACCTAAGAAGCAGGGAGCCTTATCTGGAAGTAGATCTCTCAGATCAGTACTGAAATGGCCAGACACTTGTAGTCTTAATCCCCTGGACCATCTCAGTCATCTTTATGCAAAATGCCCAAGAAAACTTTGCTTAGTCATAGGAGATGTCAAATGCTCTCAATTTTGTGCCCTAAGCACAGATATTGACAGCAGTGCTCATGTCTAAAATCATAATGACTAAGTCTCTATGCTCAAACAAAGGCCATTTTGAGGGGTACAAGGCTGCTGCCCCAGGATCTCAATTAATAAAGATATTATAATAAATCAAGAAATATAAATAATCAGGTGAGTCACTGCAAGGTGAAGAGTGAGATGATTGAAATTGCTAAGGAACCTGAACGTCACAATCTTGCTGAAAATTAAATACCAATGAATACATTCCCCTGCAGGGAAGAATGTCTGGTATTCAGACCCACTCAATACTTATAAAGATGACTTTTTAAACCAGCTGCCCAAGAATACAAAGGAAACTGGAAAAGCCACAACCGGAATCAGAGCCCCTGAGACCTTATTAATAAAACTGTCTGATCCAAGTGTTGAAAAGATCCTTRGGTGTAGGAAAAGATGAAGATATAKCTGCCAATTTTTCCAGAYTTCTCTTCTGATGCATTAGTGTAAGTCATCGTGTTGAGTTTGCTCTTAGTAAACCCTGTTTTCAGCCTGTTGAATAGCTAAGAAGCTCCCCTAGTYCAGCATGAATGAGGAAAAGATGTAAAGATGAATGCTGTATCTGGGAGCTGGTACCTGATTTGCCATATGGTAGTATCTTCTGGTTGCTCGCAGTCTCAAATAATCTAGTTAGGAATATTTATGCTTTTAGCAATTTAATCCTGTTCTCTTAGCACTTGATGAGTCTTATCCAGCAAGTCCACCTCCAGGCAAACGTCTAGCTAAAGTCAATACAAGTTCTGTAAGACTAAAGACTCTGAGGTCTGAGACATTAGAATTACATGGTTGGTGAGCAAGGTAATAAGGAAAAGGAATATCACAATAAGACTTTAATAAACTGCTTACACTGTTTGAGTCCAGTGCAGTGATTTCAATAGAATCCTACTGTCATAGAAAACACATACATTATATTAAATCAATTAAGAGTCATAGATTGGTGTTTATTCAGTAGTAATCACATAAAAACAACTTTTTGTCATTTCTTAAGTGATTAGACATTGCACAGTGCTTGCATTTCTAATTACAGTCAGTCTGTAAAAGCTGAAATCCCGATTTCTACAATATATGCTAAATGGGGAGCATTTGTTTTTATTTTTTTCTCCATCATAAGAAATAACTGTAGTTATCATTCTCATTTAGGGTTGTTTAGACTGTGGGTGTGTGAAGTCTCTTCAAAGCTGAACCCACTTCAGTACAGAGACAGATATTTCCAGAACATGTGCTAAGAGCATCCCTCACTATTGCTGCTGTGCAGTACCCACAAAAAAAATCATTTGTGGATCTCTGGGCTAGCCTTTCAGATGATCCCTGCCTTGTCATGGCTCATTTTTATGGCTTTGAGTATGGGTTGAAGTTAAGAAAAAAACAGTAATTGCTGTTATTGTRCCCTTGTAGTAGATCTGATACTGAAGATTAAATCAATAATGTCATTTGTGTATAAAATTTCAGTTCCATTTTAAACCAATATCAAAGTGAATGTGCCTAATGCATTAAATTTTAAAACAAAACTAGTAATTATTTTAATCTTTACTGATGTTAGTGTGTATTTTGGTATTCTTCAAAGCCAGTATTTTGAATATCAGGTTACTTTTTGCTCCTTTTAGAATAAACCATAATATTAGAATAACATCTCTTATAATAGTCTAATTCCTTTTCAGTTGTTTCGTTCATATCTTGTCCCCATGCAACAAGGATATGCAGAGAATGAGTAACTGTTTTGTGAACAGGGACAATAATGATTAAAATACAAACAGTATATATGACTTCAGGACTRGAATCAGATTATAGGATTAAAATGAATGGAAAAATTGTTCTGTGGTAGGATTGCAAAGCTACAGTCAATATTATCCTGTAATAATTTTAAGGGGAAAWGTGGAAAGAAATAAGGCAAAGACAGCACAACTTGAGGTTGTTAGTGATGCCTGAGTTTCCTGATTTCCTTCTGTTTATCAGATCCCAGCTAGAAAACTGCCATGTCACCAGGATTCCATTCTTTAAATTCATATTACATCTGTTGTGCTGTATTGTTTTGCAATTGATTGTGAGGGTTAAAGACAGCTGGCCTGAGGTTAATGCAGGAAAAGAGGAGAGGCAGTGGGTGATGGACGCTCTGGAGCACCTGGCGTCTCACCGGTCCCTGCTTGCAAAGGGGGCAGCAGTGCCTGTGCCCTTCTGCCCTTTGGAGCTGGCAGTGTGGACAGGTATTGCACAATGCTTCGGATCAAAGATGTGTTGGACAAATCTGGTCAGTCCAAGCCCATCTACGGGGGTGTGGTACAGCTCTTAAACACAGGAGGCTGATTGCAACAATGCTTGGAGCTGTCTTAAGGCCACTCCTGTTCTTCAGTGGAGTCCCTGGGCAATCCCTGCWTGGCCCTGGGCAGCCTCGTGGCCCAGCTCTGGGCTTGCTCTGCCCACCTCAGGTCCCTGCTGTCTCAGTGAAGTCCTCAGGAGATCACATCCTCAGGTTTTGTGCAGGGGAGGTCTCTGGCTGCATTTGAGACTGAGAGCATTTGTATGCTGCTTCAGCCCTGCCCTCTTTGCAGAGATCTGGAGGATGGTACAAATGCAAATTAGTGTTGTTTCAAATATTCTTCAGGCCAGCTGTACTAACCTCAGTGTGAAGTTGAGTTTCCACCAGACAGTGTATCTTCTGGATCGTGAGGAAGTGCTKTGAGAAGTGCCACCTCTTAAAGGCCTGAATTCTGAATGTTTCTGTTCTTTATGTATTATGAGTCTGATGAGGCCACTGATGAAGTTAAGGTAAATGAAGGTCTGGGGTGCTTAGTCTCATGCATCTGTAGCAGGTTGCCTTTTGAAAAGTAAATGCATTTGTCACTTTCTAAAAGTCAAGCCTGCCTGAGAAGTGCTCTCCAAAATTGGCAGTGCTTTAACACGCCAGTCTTTTTTTTTTTTTTTATGCAAAACGTTAGTTACATCTGTTTGTATACCTAAGGGTACTTTGCTTTGAATAAGCTAGAAAAAAAATTAAAGGCACTTTTTTTTAACTGGGGAACCTATTAGGTCATATCATAAATGTCTTGGTCATTTTCTATCTGAGTCCAGAAGTATTGTAGCAGCTTGAGCTATATTTGTAGGTATTGCAGAAATGAGCCATCCTACAGTGTAGGTTTAGCTCATAGCTGCTACTGCTCCCTGAGACCTGACACCTCCTGTCATCAGAGGCAAAGCTGACTAGGTGTGGCATGGCATCCTATTATTTTTATTATTGTATATCCTATATGTATTATATACTATTATTATATAACCTATATATTATGTATGCTATATAGGATATTATTATTATATATCCTATATTTCTGGAGCTGCTGCCTCCAGAAAATGCTGCAYAACCCTATGCAACTTCCTGATTGTATCCAGAATATCTTGAAGAGCTCCACAGTGCTCTCTGCTGTGCCATACYGTGTCATGCTCTGCACTGAGCCATGCGTGTGCTCTCCTGCCCACAGACCAGTACGATGCCTTTTTTTCCATTTAAGAAGAGGGGTTTGTGCTTATCACTCTGCTTTGTTCTTGGACATATCTGGAACTTAGAGTAAAAGGAACAGAGAATTCCATAGAATGAGGGTCAGTTGTGTGGAGTGTCCCATGCCCAATATCAAACAAGTGCATCAAAGACAAAAAGGAGAAAAAACAAAGCTTGGAAGCCTTGTTGGGGGGGAACTGGGCATAGGATGAAGGTGTGGTGCAAAGTCTTACAAATACATGCAGACAATGCCCTCCAGCAGCTTGAAATAGGCTTTCAGGGAAGTACTTACTTGAACTCTAACTTGTAGCAAATTGGATGGAATTTGTATTTTCTTCCCCGTTTTCCTGACTTAATCCCTCTGAAGGAAGATGTCAGTAAGCAGTGTCTATCATCACAATGCATTTCTGATTAACAGCAAGGGCACAAGGGCACTCTCAAAATAGAAACCAAGTCAGGATTGTTTTAAATCAATGTTGCAGAAGTATTAAAGCGGAAGCTGTAATTTTAATGTGTTCAGAAAGAAAATGCATGCTACTGTAAACAGTTGTGTACATTSATCTAGCTGCTACTGCCTGGCATAACCTCTCGCATTAGAGTTCTGTGATTCATCTTCTCTTTTGTTGCAGAGAGTCGAATGATTCTGGATGCCTTTGCCCAACAATGCAGCCGGGTTCTAAGTCTCTTAAATTGTGGTGGAAAACTACTGGACAACAATCATTCTCAGTCCATGATTTCTTGTATAAAGCAGGAAAACCCAAGTTATAGTGAAAGACAAGAGCAATGTCAGCTTGGGAAAATGGTCCATAGTCAGACGTCAGACATTTTAGACATAGAGATGCAGTATATGCAAAAGAAACAACAAACCTCAGCCTTTCTGAGAGTTTTTACTGATTCCCTTCAGAACTATTTGCTTTCTGGGAGCTTCCCTTCTCAGAACACCTCATCAATAAATGATTTTAGCCATTTGGCAGATGTGGATCCACTTTCAACCTCTCCAGTACACACTTTAGGTGGATGGACATCTCCTGCAACATCGGAATCTCATGGTCATCCATCATCTTCTACACTTCCAGAGGAGGAAGAGGAGGAAGATGAAGAAGGTTACTGCCCTCGATGTCAAGAGCTAGAGCAGGAGGTAATTTCATTGCAACAAGAAAATGAGGAGCTTCGTAGAAAGCTGGAGAGCATTCCAGGTAAATAATCCCCTGCCACACGATGTTGCCAGTCAGTGATAAAAATAGTTTGGGTAATAGTTTGTTTCAAGTTCTAATAATTTTTTAAGGTTGAGATCATAGTACTCAAGCACTGAATTTGTCTCCAGCCAAAATTCCTATAGCTATGCCCAGTGGAAAATTGTCTGCTGATACTCATCTACATGAATCTTGAGTCATACACTAGTAAACTGTGTTCAGGTAGGGGCGTACTTGTAATCCCAAATTCCAAATATCAGGTAGTTTGTAACAGTAATTTCAAACATACGCTTTTAGAACTATTTATCTGTCTTGTTCTTTGGGTGACATTTTGTCTTATAAACTTAATTCCCTTTTGGTGCTCCTCTTTTTTGGTTAGTTAAGGAAATTATTCAAGGTTTCTTTTACCTGAAATAAATTTGTCTTYTCCCTTCAGCAGTTTCTCTTAAATTGCTGCTGTCTTGGTGAGAAGCATTAAAACATCTCCTCCTATTCATCTTCAAATAAAATCTGAAAAAGAAAGCCTAACAACAACTTTTCTAGTTCAGCAATACCTAGCAGACACAGGCAAAGAAGACAGAAACCCCCAATCTAATAGAAACCCTTTCTGTGAAAAACTTCTCTTGCCCTTTAAACCAAGGTCTTCTCACCRTTAAAGTGCACCAAGATGCTTGAAGTGTGGTATGGGATAAGAACAAAGTATCTTGGACCCATATTTTCTAAACTTTCAACACAGGCAAAAATACACCCCAAATATTAATACTAAAAGCAAGTTGGAATTTAGCAGTGGAAAGAACCATACAACATGTTTCTAACATGTATAAACACTTGGGAACTGCACATTTGCTACCTGAATTTGAGGTGCTTAGGGTAGATCCATGCTAATCTCTGAATGGTAGAAAAGCATATATAGTATAAAATGAGCTGCAAGAGAGAAAATACTTCAAAGCTGCTAACTGTGCAGAAAGGAAGAAGGCAGTAACCAACTACTGCCCCAATATGTAGTGGCAGTTGCAAAATCTGAGCAAAAAGCAAGAGCAGCAGTCTTCATGATTCTTTTCCCCAGCTATTGGTGATGTATTATCCATTATTTATATCACTCTATGTTTTTCTTTTGTGCATTTTTCCATAGGGATAGTGGAAAATCCCATAAGCAGTATTGTTCAGTGCAAAGAATACCCAAAATTTATAGTAACTCCCTCACCCCATCCAAAAMTATGGAGTTACCATAACTCGTGTACTTTCACTGGTTTCAGTAGGGGTTAGTACATCATCTCTTAACACTGCATGCCAAAGGCAATTGTGTGGATTTTGACTACTGGTGAGTCCTACCTTGAGGTGTGTAAGACCAAAAACGATCCTGTAGGGTCTGTAGTCTGACTGGCAGYTTTCATTCAATCACCTGCACTGAACACAGTAAATTTTTTTACTTTCACTAGAGTGTAACTTGTATTTGGCTCAAGTAGTATCTCAGAAGGCCTGGTGAGTCTCCAGTGAGCAGCAGCTGTATCTCKTACCCTGACAGTTGGTTCCAGTGCTTAATTACACTGGTGAAAATATGTTCCTTGTTCCCTGCCTGACTACCTGAAATCAGCTTCTAGCCATTGACTTTTGTGCCTTGCTCCACTAAATGAAGTGCTCTGTAGGTCTTGGTACTTCTTCTGATTGAAGGTACTTACWGACTGAAAGATGACTTAATTTCCATTTTAAATAAACAAAGCAAACAGAACTGTTTGAAACTCATCAAATGAGTTGAATCCTTCTCTGCAGCTTTTTTTTTTCTTCCCTTCTGCTAATTTGTTTAAAATCTGGGCACTGGAAATGCATGCAGTGTGTTCCTATGAGCCTGATCAAAGGTGAATAGACTCTGCTCCCACCCATGGTTTCCCTGGTGGGTTGCACAGCTGAGCTGTTCATTCTGTGCACATTTCTTCCTAGAAGTACACACTCTGTATTTGGCTGTGTTTGTGTACTAAGTGTTCCAGATTGCTCTGACTGCCCATTTGCCCACTGTTTGCTGATTTCTCTATTTCTATATCATCCAGMATTTTTCTAATTGTTTTAAAATCAAATTTGTGGTCCTGGTTAGTAAGGTTGAACTGTATTGAGGGTGTTTTTAGTCCCTGCTGGACCTTCCTAGAAGCATCTATTAATGATGATTCCTGCAATGACAAATATTAGAGATATTACTAGCAGGTTCCTAATCTATATATGTTCTAGTCTGCTGGTGTTGGGTGTTGCTTCTTTTGCAATCAACTAATTTRTGGTCGAGAGTTAAATGCCCTTCAGGAGTCTAGGTTATTTTATATTGTTCAGCCCAACTTTTCCATCTATAATCTCGTCAAAGAATGACAATCAGGTTAGTCTGGCAAGATCTACTTTTCATAAGACCATTTTGACTGGAATTAATTATATTCTTATTCTTTAGTTCTTTGTCATTTGAATCCTGTTATGATTGCCTCTATTTTGCTAGGATTAATGCTGGGTTAAGCAGCCAGTATTTACCTGGGTCATCATACTTACCCTTCATCTCCCTTGAAAAGCGATAAACATGCATAATCATAGTCATTTTACACCCCCCAGGAGTCATTAAACTCCTTGTTAACCATGTATCAAAGGAAGCAGACACACATAAAAGAAATGTGTAAGGAGGTAGGTCTTCATCTGCCAACACAAAATCATCATCAGATGCATCTGCTGCTGTCTGRTGACATACACAGACAGATCTGAAGTGACCCATGTGTTTGCAGAAGTGTTAAGAGCCACAGAATCTCCCCGAGGTTTTGCTGCATGGYAGGACAGAGCTCCTCAGGCAGTCACACAGGCACAACTGAGCAAAGTTAATCAAAAGTCAACTAAAGGCAACGTCTAATTATATTTGTCTCWAGTGTTCATTTTGCTCCTGTGAGCTTCTACTACCAAAAAAGCTGGCAGAAATTTTTCCGTGACTTGAAATGCTCAACTCTGTAAGCAAGCAGGTGCTTGTTCTCTGAGCGTTTTTTTTTTTCTGCCCACCAAGATGTTGCATGCCTCAGGAGGGAGCCAGGAAGCCTTCTGCAGTGTGTCAGTGTTGTCTACCACCATCTATCCCATCAGACTAATCTCAGAGCACAAACTTTCTTCCCTGCAAATTCATCCACTTCATGTAGAGCATCCAATGGGCCAGGGAAAGCGAAGAGTGTGGCAGAGAAGCAACTGTGATGGCAGCTARATGTGCTGCCATACTGTCTCTATCAAGCCACTGAAAGAGCAGGATTTTTTTTTCCGTAGTGGTTTTTCTTCTCATGGTTGGGGGAACTAGTCCAGAGCTGCTGGATAGGCTGGCAGGGGACCCTGTGGGGTGGGGGCAGTGTGCACCATGCCCTCCCCACAGCCACTGAGGCTCCCACCAGCAACCCTACCAGCAGGATATAAAAGCACCAGCCCCTCCCTTCTGCTGTATAATATGAATCATTTTRTCCTTCTCCTGAAATACTTTGCATTTCTTTTTTTTACTTTCCATATGCAAAAGCCCTTTTAAAATCCATGAGAGTTTGCAATCTAAAAATAGTTGCYGCTATACATCTCTGCCTCTAGCTTTGCAAAGCAAGGCTCACAAAGAGACTACCAAGAAAAAGAATGTTTTCTCAGCAGATGTAAAGGCAATGACACTTTTTTCTTTTTTAACAAATACTACAGAAGACATATCCTCCTGTAGCTTTTGGACACAGAAAATAAGATTTTTCAGTTTTCAGGACTCTGCCCTTTTGCTGTAGAAGTCCTTTAGTTCTGTAGGATCTTTTTGCCTGTAGCCTAACATCACTCTTTGGTAGATCACCACTGGAGAGAAACGATTACATGGGTAAAATATTGCACATATTTTGGTTGTTGGATGGGTGGGTGTTTTTTTCTCAAAAAATGTCTGTTTGATTTGACTGAAACAATACTTAAATTTGTGTGATATCTTAATTGTTCCAGCTATAGAATAAATTTTTAAAAATTCATATTTCAGTTTGGAGCAGTGCAACTTCTTTCAACCTGTCCAGTTTCCCCAGGATTTTTATTTTAGGGAAAAACATCAACCACACATTTTCACTTTTCAATTCAACTGAACTGAAGAGAAACATTTTCATTCACTGTGTTATTTTGTCTTCTTTTGAAAAATAATGAGAGCTTAGGTAGTTCCTGAAAGGGGCTTGGCAAACTTACCATTGGCTCTGTAAGGTTTTGAGATCATTAGGAACAAAGCAAAGTAATCCATCCATGAGGAGAAAAGTGTCTCCTGGTCTCTTTCCTCTGTACAGAAATTACTGTGGCTGGGATACATTCCCAGTAGTGAATTTAAAGACCTGTTTGAGGAACTACATGTAAAACCTGGATTTTGACCATGTAATTTATGAGGATATTAAACAGTTCCTCATTGTTATCAGCATGATTTTCTCACAGTTTTTGACCTAAGAGGGAGAAAGTATTTCCAAGTGGTTAAAGTTGAAATCATAAGTTTGGGTTTGCTTCCTGGTGCTCCCAATTTTGCTTCATGATTTTGGATAAACCAGTCTGAAAGTAGTGAAAAGGTAAAAGATTAGTAAGCAAGATGAAGTCATGTGTGATAATTACAATGATTATTCTTACTTTGTTAACCCAGCAGCAAAAAATACTCCAGCAAGTAGCAAAGGGATGGGGAAGAAAAACTCCCACAAATGTTGAGGCCTGGTCACCTGTAGAGATTCAAGGTGGCTGGAATTAGGCAAAGCAAGGAGAGGTTTGCAGGTAGAGTTAATATCAACATAATTGAAAAAGTCAGACAAGTTTTCCAGGAGGTTTTGTGTGCCCAAGGTTTGATTGTTCTTCCTGACTTTTAGATGATCTAATAAAAGATACTACTTTTACCTACAAATCCTGTCTCTTTTATACTTTCAGAGCCTCACATTTCCAAAGAGCCTACCACAGCCACAGTATAGATAAAGCAGCCATCAAGGGTTATGATGAACACTTTTTCATATACTTTTTTTTTTTTTGTCCTT